ACCAGGCAATTCGCCCCTAGGCAGTTCGCCACCAGGGAGCATCACCAGGCAGTTCGCCACCAGGCAGTTCTCCCCCAGGAAGTTCGCCACCAAGTAGCTCATCACCAAGGCACGTCACCGCCAGGTCAAACGCGAGGTATTTAGCCAAAAAAATTTATACATCCCAAAAAATGGTACGTGACCAAAAACGGTTACATCAAATACATTGACATGTACGAAATTTTAAGCCACATCTAGAATGGGGTAAGGGAAGTTTTGATTTTAAGCTACATCTGAACACGTTAAAAGATGGGTTAGAGTCTTAAAATTTCAGATCTGAAAAAAAACTTTTTAAATCTTATTTCAGATGCAATACCAAACAAAGGTGGCATCTGAAAAACAATATTTTCAAATTTAGACATCTAAAAAATACAATAAAACACCACCTAACATTATCTGAATTCCGATTTTGAACCTTTTTAGGGTTTCAAATTCATCTATCATAAACTTTTTCTAGGTAAGCACATAGAGTTGGAAGCCTGGAGGAGGACAACTTTAACCTTACCTTCATCTCCAGGTGGAAACTGGAAAGGGTGGTGGTGCTATTTCCGTTACATTTTGTCAAATTTTCCACGTAGACCATTTAGAGCCTAAATATCTAATGGCTACTATTTAATGCAGGAATCAAAACTATACGTATTAGCGGCACTACCCTTCCACATTTGTCAAATTCTTAAAATCTTCAAGAAAGAAATAAATTCCAATCCGGCGGTTCTCGAACCAATTTACGAGTTACGACTAACTTTCAACCGACTGGAAACGTGTCAGGCATACGGTAACAATGAAGTGACATCAGTCACGGAGAATAGTGACGTGTAAAGAAATGGCTGTGGATGGCGGGACCCATGTGGACCCAGCGATTTGACAAAACTCTTGTGCGGTAGAACTGAGAAAACGTTTTTTATGACTTTTTGACATCCAACGATCGAAGACGCGTCGTGGCGGGCGTTCCCTTTTCTTTTAGGCACTCTTCATTCTTTTCATAAGCTCAAAGTAATTAGCATAATAGTGTAAGAGAGGAAATCAGGAATTACATATGTAAATTCAAGCCACTAGTATGTAATGTAAATATTTTTGAGGGTTTGTTTGTTTTGTAGTTGGAATTATCTATTCTATCTGTATGTTTAGTTCAAATGCAAATCAAAATAGGAATTTAAACAAGGTGGAATGGATTCTCATTTTGATTCCAAACCCCTAAAACAAACCCTAAAATCTTGAGAAGTGAGAACACGAATAATTCATGTAGCCGAAGTATATCTATATACAAAAAGAGGTAGGTTTTAATGTTTCTAGTATCAAAGTCGAATTCTTTCTTTCATCACCAACTCTAACAATTCAAATCAACCCCCTTTTGAGTATTGAAGTTGAATTTACCTTTTGTTTTTTATATCCAAGTCTTCATTTCCATCAAAGAACGGGGTTGGATACTTGGATCTAGAACGACATTATTTTTATTTTCTTTTCTGGTGTAATGGGATGAACATCATTAAATAAGCAAAAATGTCAACCTACCTGGTCTGAGAGAGAAATTTGAAATTTGAGTAGATGGGTTCCATCATTTTTTATTTTTTTAATCAAAATTCAAAAGGGTGTACTACAATATCAAATTATATTCAACTTCTTTCTCGGACTCCCTCGTCTAATTATAAAACTGCATTTTCTTTCCGAAGCAACTAACTAGAGATTTGGAAGGCAGGTTTTACAGTTGTTCTATATTAACAAAAAGAAATATTGATCGACTGCCTCCAACTTTGTACACCAAACATCTCTCTCATCTAAACGTCAGAATTTATGGCCTTTTCTTCTATTATCATGATTCACTCAAGAAAATTAGAAAAGTGCTCAAAGCATTTGGGTCTTCCGCAGTCATAAAAGAGCATATCCATATTCAACAAAATGCAAATGTGGGGTATATGGAATTTTGGACCAAGACATTCAGGTACACCTCCCATTGATCTTTGAATGAATGTGGACTGTGTGAAAGTGTGAACCAGGAAGGAGGTCAGCTCGGGTTTGGGTTATTATTAGCAATACTGTAAAGCAGGGGTCAAGCCCTCCAGCAGTCAAACCTCAAATTTAGGAGAAACAGCCAACAAGAGATGGTAAAAAGTTGGAACAGAATCCATGTAAAGCTTATCCGTTCCACTTCTTGTTTGGCAACAGATTGGATCAAACATTTCAAGTTTTTAATAGCTTTACCTCGACTCCGTGTTCCTTCTCATCTCTTCATATATATACACATTTCAGTCGCCGGACAGAGACAAAACGAAAGGACCCTCTCTCCACTCTCCAGTCTCCCACCCACATTTCTGTCGCCATGATTTCATTGAAGTGGGGCACTATTCTGGTAATATTGATTATTGAGCGCGCGTTGAAAAATCTTAACTTTTCTTAATTATAAGTTTATAACCCAAAAAATCAGATAAAGAAAATAAAAAAAAATGTTCTTCACTATTCGTTGAATGATTTGTTTATTTCCGTGGGTCGTCGTTGTTTTGCTTTTTTGACATCGAAAGGCGAGATTTTTATCTGATGCATTTTTAGACTTACGGAAAACAGAGTGATTAAAGTTTTTCGTTGGGTATAAAAGGAGCTCTTCGGTGTTCTTGGTTTCATGGTCGTAAGCAGAACAACAACTCCACCGGTTTTTCTGGAATCTCTAGCTTCTCTCATTCGCAGAGAAAAGCTTCAACTCCAGTTGTTGTGGTTACTCTAAGCCCCAACGGTCGAGGAGGAGAGAGAAGGGTCAAGGCTTCAATGGAGAGCACCCTGAAAGAGATGAGAGACGGTGCTTCTGTGCTGGACATGGATCCCAAATCCACTGTTGGCGGTGGCGTTGAGGACGTGTACGGTGAGGATCGCGCCACGGAGGATATTCTCGTTACTCCCTGGACTTTCTCAGTTGCTAGGTGAGCTGATCAATGATGATCGAGCTTCTCCTCTTGTATTTATTTTATTTTTTCCCTTAATTCTGTCCTCATTTTGAGTTTGTGAGTCCATGGTTCTAGTGAGGGATCTCTATTTTTGCTGTTATTAGTGCATGCTATTAAACAATGTTTTTCTTCCTCTTTTAGTTACTTTTGTTGCTATTTTTCTCTCGCTTTTTGATGGCTGTTTTGTTTTGGTGTTCATTTTTTATTTTGTTTAATATATCCTTTTGAATATGATGCCTTCTGTTTTACTTGATGTTCTTTTCCTACTGCCTGTTTGTTAAGTTTTCTTTTTGTTCTGTATATCTTTAATTAAGTGTTTCCGAAGGAAACTCTGTTTTTTTTTTTTTTTTAATGAATTTTTTCGCCCTTTGTTTCTGTTCACATTCTTTCTCTTTTCTTGTTCTTTTATCTTGTTGAATTATATATGGATCTAAATGATTCATGGAAATCTTATTCAGGAGTTTGGTTTTTCTTCTTAATTTAATATGCTGTTGAACTCAAGGCTGAATAAACAAAGTGGCGCAATTTAAGAGAAGTGTATAACCTTAGAACTTTTGGTTTTCTTTCTCTGGTCTCACAAGATTTGGGCTTATTATGATGACACCATCAAAGCTTCCATGGAATTCGGAAAAGGTTATGGATTTCGTCAAATCAAATATTTTTCTATTTTCATCTAGAAGAGAGCTGGTTCTTTTCTTCCTTTTTAACCCTTTCTGGAGTTTCACCTTTCTAAATTGTTTCAGCAGTCCGAGAATGTTAATTTTCTGTTTGCTTCCCTTCCTTTTTTTTTTTTTTTTGGTTATCGATGGGTTATTTATTACTATAAAAAATTGCTGCAGTATAACCTTAGAGTCCTTGATGAGAAGATGGGAGAAATGAGTGAGTGGTTCTTGATTTAGTTTAAGTAACATCAGTATGTGAGTTACAGGCGAAGCCCATAATTGGAGGTCCTATGAATTTTCTTCCAAACTTGCACAGCATTTGAAGAACATCTGACAGAAAGAGTATGAATTCTAAAGCCATTTCCTTGCTTTACAAGGCTGCTGGATGGGCAGGTTATTCAAAACAAACCTATGTAGCATTTTAATCTGTTAAAAGATCATCTACTTCTTTTGTGTAACAGAAGCCACTAAAGGGAACAAAATGTTCACACTTCCAACTTCCAACTTCTAATTCATTGCATGTCAAAGCTATAGTTTCATAATAAAATGTTTATTTATTATGTTAATGCATGTTAATTATCTGAACTTTTTTTTTTTTTCTCTTGTGTAGTGGGTATACTCTGTTGAGGGATCCACACCATAATAAAGGACTTTCCTTCACCGAGAAAGAGAGAGATGCCCACTACTTGCGAGGTCTTCTGCCCCCAGCAATTGTCAGTCAAGCTCTTCAGGTAAATACTTGATAATGATTCCTCCTAGTTGAGACCCTTTTCCTAATGTTTTAGCAGAATCAATCCTTGGGTGCTGACCCTTCCTTTCTACAATTCTGTCTTATCAGGAGAAGAAAGTGATGCACAATCTCCGTAAATATCAAGTTCCATTGCAGAGATACATGGCAATGATGGATCTTCAGGTAGTTGACTCAGGTCAATTCTATTTGTGGGTTATAGAAATATTCTGGTTGTAGTTACATTTGGTTACTTTGTCTTGATTTACAGGAGAGGAATGAGAGACTGTTCTACAAGCTTCTCATTGATAATGTTGAGGAATTGCTCCCAGTTGTATATACTCCAACTGTGGGGGAAGCTTGCCAAAAATATGGTAGCATCTTAAGGCGTCCTCAGGGTCTTTACATCAGCTTGAAGGAGAAGTATGGCTGTTTAACCCATTCTCTTTTCAGCTTCTTGCCATAGTGTGTGCTTGGATATCTAATGTATTTTGCAATGTTACCCAAGTAGAACTCATAAATATTTGGATTTCACAGGGGAAAGATTCTTGAAGTACTGAAGAACTGGCCCAAGAAGAGTATCCAAGTTATTGTAGTTACTGATGGTGAACGGATCTTGGGACTTGGAGACCTTGGCTGCCAGGTATAATGATTGGAGTGGTTCATCTTCCAATGATGTCTATAAACATATATAAATCAGTGTCAACATTTACTTATAGGATTAGTTTGGTGTCTCATTCTTTATATTTTAATTGGTATATGGGAATTGAAAAATGTCTTGTATGTTCTCAGGGGATGGGTATTCCTGTAGGAAAACTTGCTCTATATACGGCGCTTGGGGGTATTCGTCCTTCTGTTGTAAGCATATCCTTCATCAACTCTTGTTCTTTTCAATTGATTGTCTTCTCAAGCATGGATCATTATTGGAAATAGATTGACTTCTCAGAATGAAGAAATTTGATTAATGAATGAAACTTTGTGTGTGTGTGTGCGTGTGTGTGTGTTTTATATGTCATATTACTAGTTCTGCCTTAGGGGCCATTTCTTGGTATAATGGTATAATCTCTTTGCCTGACAAGTGTGAAAAATGCGGGTTTGAGTCTGAGAGCAGCCACTTTGTGCCAAAAAAAGAAAAATTTCAAAGGTCATATCTGTATCCAGTCCACCCCTCCCATGACCCCAAATAGCTGGGACCAATATTGGATAATGGCCTTATGACTAGTCCTGCCTTGACTGAGTTGACATGGCTTTTTAATGGGGTTCACAATGGCTTTGGCAAATTATTAGCCCATTGAAACTAAGATGTCAGGATCATCAGCAACAAGCTCCTATGAAATTCTAAGAACTGATCATGATGGTATTTCTTTTATCTATAAATTACAGAAATGTAATTAGATTTTTCTCTTATCATCTGCAGTGCTTGCCTGTAACCATTGATGTTGGGACAAATAATGAGCAATTGTTAAAGGATGAGTTCTACATTGGGCTTAGACAAAGGAGGGCAACTGGCCAGGTTCCACTACTGAAAATCCTGTATAATACTTAATTTATCGCAGCAGTTATCAACATCTAAAAGAAAAGATGGTTTTGTACTTTGTGGTTCTAGGAATATTCTGAACTTCTACATGAATTCATGTGTGCTGTTAAGCAGAATTATGGAGAGAAAGTCCTTATACAGGTACCGCCATTGGTGCTTCTTATTGGGTTGAAAATTTAAGTGATTTCACCTAATCTTGATTCACAACTTCTTCATGACTCTTATACCCTCTGAATTTCTTAACCACAACTGCAGTTCGAAGATTTTGCAAACCACAATGCCTTTGAGCTGCTTGCAAAATATGGCACAACCCATCTCGTCTTCAATGATGATATTCAGGTAACCTGAAAAAGAAAGCCTTTGTCATTCTGGGAGGATATTGTTTCTTTGGGAAACAAGTCCCTAATGTGTGGATTCTGTTCTCTCATTGCAGGGGACAGCATCTGTGGTTCTTGCAGGGGTTGTCGCAGCACTGAAATTAGTTGGTGGAACCTTAGCTGAGCAGACATTCTTGTTTCTTGGTGCTGGAGAGGTGAGTCTTATCCCTTCTTTTCTCTCTTGTCCCTCTATTTGCATATTGGAAACTAAAAGATATAATAATGAATGGAGAAATTGTAACTGATATGAATATAGATGAATTTTTTATATGCTAGTATATCTTGAAGCATTTTTCTTGATGTTGGGTTTTTTTATTTTTTTGATCAATAACAGAAACTTTATTAAGAATTATGAAGCTTTAGGTACAAAAAAGGGGGAGATAAAGAGTATTATCTCCCCATCAGAAAATTACAATGAAAGAAGATTAAAAATTAGCCCAAAAAATAGCCTCCCTATTCACCCCTTGCTTGGCCAACCCATCTGCAAAAGAATTAACAGTCCTTTTCACCCAGCTGTACTGTATCTCAATGCCTCTACATAGCCATAAGAGTTTTTTCTTTTCATTATTGTAACTCCACAAGCCACTGTCCTCTTTCTTCAACCAGCTAATCACCACCTTTGAATCACCTTCCAAAATCAGCCGACTGATATTTAGTTCCCTTTCTCTTTGAACCCCTTCCAAAGCTGCAAGGATCTCAGCCCTAATAGAGTCTCCTTCTCCAATAGGGCCWGAGAACAGAGCAATAACAATCCCTTCCTCATTCCTGAAAACTCCCCCAATCCTAGAGGGCCCTGGATTCCTTATGCTACTGCCATCAAAATTCACTTTTATAAATCCGGAGGGAGGAGGGGACCACAAGGGACTAAGAGTCCTCTTACACAGAGTAGAGATTGCTATCTCTTTCCAGTTTCTTAACAGGTCAGCAATAGGAAAGTCTGAGAACAGTTCCACCAGAGTCTGCTGCTTACCTGCCTTGTTTGTAAAATGGATAATATTCTGTGAAGAATGCTCTTTCTTTTTGCCAACAAGTTGGAATCTTTTCTACATGTATCCATACATACATAAATGCATGAATGTACATTGGTGTTTATTAAATTTTCAACCTTCTTTATACTTAATTTGTAATCCTTTTATAGAAATATGTGCTTGCTTTATTGTCACATTACTGACTAATTATACACCACACAGTAGATTGAGTTTCTTGATCTAATGGTGTCTTCATAAACATCCAGGTCCATGTCTCTATGGGTATCTAACTTCTCTTCTCTGATAATTGTAGGCTGGAACTGGTATAGCAGAACTTATAGCTCTTGAGATGTCAAAACAGGTATATACTTTCCACAGGCATGTTGGCCTTCTCCTCTCATTTTAAGGTAATATTTTGATTTTATGCAAGTCCTAATACATATATCTGTTTTTCTATCCTTACAGACAAAAGCTCCACTTGAAGAGACCCGCAAGAAGATTTGGCTCGTTGACTCAAAGGTAGTAGAAACCTGAGCACTTATTTTCCTTGCTTATCAAGCCAACTGTTCTTTGCACCTCAAATTTTCCTTTGGCTTACTAATATGTTAATGGCAATTCTGTTTCAGGGATTGATTGTTTCCTCCCGCAAGGAGTCACTTCAACACTTCAAGAAGCATTGGGCTCATGAGCATGAACCCGTGAAGACACTGCTAGATGCTGTCAAGGTTGATCTGTGTGTGTGTGTGTGTGTGTGTGAGTGGGTGTGTGTGTGCGCGTGTGTATGTTCACACTTGCACATTTGGAAGCTTGTGTCCTTGTTTATGTATGTGAATGGTTGGTTTTGTGTTATAGGAAAAATTGATAAGTGGCTTATTTTAATAATCTATTAATGCTTCTCTTAGGCAATCAAGCCAACAATGTTGATTGGATCATCCGGGGTAGGACAAACATTCACAAAGGAGGTAGTTGAAGCTATGGCCTCCTTTAACGAGGTATCATTAACCTCCTTTGTCTCTCTAATGCACGTCTCCATAAGCAGAACGCTGTTTCAAATGGAAGAAGCTGACATTTGTTACAAATGAATGCATGCAGAGACCTGTTATTTTTGCTCTTTCAAACCCAACTTCACAGTCTGAGTGTACGGCTGAGGAAGCTTACTCGTGGACCAAGGTAGGAAGACACAAAAATGCTCTTGAAATCCCTCACTGCTTTAATACATTTAACCCATGTTGCCTTGATGTTGGTATGAGAATCACGATCTGACACCAGCAGCCTGAGAAAAATAGGATTGGGGACTCAACAGGTGTATTTAGACTTCTAGTCTGAAATGATACATTTCTATGTTACATGAATAATTGATATTGTTAACAACTTAACATGGCATAAAAAATATGATTCATGTCATGGTGGTGATGTTTGAATGATCTATGAAGACAAATAAAAAATGGTTTTTCACTCTCTACCTTTAAAATTTGCAGGGTCGTGCAATTTTTGCTAGTGGGAGCCCTTTTGACCCTGTTGAATGCAACGGAAAAGTTTTTGTGCCTGGCCAGGTCATCTATATGCTTTTCTCTTTTGGCCATTATCCATTTGACAGAGATTTATGTAGTAGTGATAACTGATAAATGAACCTTCTGACTTGCATCCCATCTTTGTATTGATGCAGTCAAACAATGCTTACATTTTCCCTGGATTTGGTCTTGGTTTGGTAATATCCGGTGCAATCCGTGTGCATGACGATATGCTTCTGGCATCCTGTAAGTGCACATAATATTGAAGAGAAGTTGGAGGTCCACAAAAAGATACAACTAGCTATTTTAGAGACCTGCTTTGCTCACGTCTTATGAATAAAACTTTTGATTTTGGGATTAAACGTGGACATGCAAAACTATGGCACAGGTTCCGAAGTCGTTTCTGCCAGATGGGTCGCATTGGACCCAATGTCCATGTTTGACACCCTGAATTTGATATTCTAGTATTCAATATGATTTTATATTTACTTCTGGTACCTATAATCCATGCTAAGAGGAATGATCAGTTGCTTACCAATCAAAAAGAGGCACTTGTTATCTCTGCATATACATCTGAAAACTTAAATAACCACTCACCTAATCTTTCTTGTTCTTTTCTCTTGCAACAGCGGAAGCTTTGGCTGGTCAGGTAGCAGAGGAGAACTTTGAGAAGGGGCTCATTTACCCACCATTCTCTAATATCAGGAAGATATCGGCTGAAATTGCTGCTAATGTAGCTGCCAAAGCATATGACTTAGGTGAGTCCCTTTATAATGCCCAGTTCATATACTTCATACAGTGTTTGCTGTGTTTAAACTAAAAGATCTATTTACATGCTTACTGGTTTATTTATGTACAATCATTTGCTTATTGTAGGTTTGGCTACCCGTCTACCTCGTCCGGCTAACCTGGTTAAGTATGCAGAAAGTTGCATGTACAGCCCTGTGTACCGAAGCTACCGTTGAGTTATACAGTAGCACGAGTCTGAATCGTTGGATGCCCCTATAAATTTTGTCAGTTTACAGTTTGTTTCTAAAACTTGAGTTCTCAGATCGTTTCTAATTCCTTTTCTCGCGTGTCTGAGTTATCTTTTCTTCTTTTTTCCCTACCTTTCCCTTTGTTAAGGTAAGGTCATGATGTAGTATTGTGACTCTGGTTGCAGCTTGAACATTGTTGTAAACTATAAACTTCCATGAAATAAGGATCAATGTTATTCTGTTTTCTCACTTTGTAAAGATGCAGACTTGTAGTTGCTCGTTCAGTTCCAACCAAGGGAAGTTGAATCTTCACCATCACCAAAGATGTCGATGTCTAGTGAACCTCGGGTGGGTCCAAAACCAACCTAAACCAAGCTTTTGCAAATTGGAGATTGAGTGACCTTACACTAGAACACTGAAAATTGTCCAAACTAGTCAGTTGAACCAACTTGAGGAATTTCTTAACAAGGCAGCAAACATCTGCAACACTGCATAAAAAAGATGTTCCTAGAAATGTTTCACTGAAATCTCAAGGGCAGGAGACTCTTCCCAAATTATGACCTATAGATCAGATGTGAAGTTAAAAAATGGTTTAAATCAATATCATGGTATCACCCATCTGATGGATCAAGTACGCTTTAATAAAACATGCAAAAATGACCCAGAAGAAAGGTAGATATATGATAAGAACTGGATTTCAGAATACAGGGCAGAGGTGAACAGGTTTGGAACTGGACTGCAGATTCTAGAGGATCAGAGAGAAAAGCACCAAGAAAAATCAGGATTATTCTGGTGCTATCCGAACCTGATTGCCCCCACTAACCCAATAGCATGCCCTTTTGTGCCCAATAGTAGGGGCTGGTTGGGAAGGCTGGGAGTACGCCATGGTTTCAAATTATAGGAAACCTCCTATAATTTTTTGTTGTTTCTAGTTGTTTGAATTCAAAATGGTCTAAATATTCTGTTTACTTAGGTTCCAAAGTTGATTCTAATTGTTGGAGATAGGTTCCGGGTCACATTAATCCAAATTGAATCTCTTTGCTCCTAATAGAAATCAGTTATCAGTTAGCATAAATATACTAATGTCTTTTTTTCAAGGTTGGTTTATCCAATCCAAGGATTCTTTTGTATACACCAGTGCCCTGGTGAATTATAATAACCCCAAGTCAGTGACTCCATGTTTCCTTCTGTTTGTTTGAAAAGCCTTTGAAAGTGCTTTGGATTGCATGTAGCAAAAGACACAAACAATTTCATCGGCTGTGGTGACTAGGTAGGCATCATTTAAATACTTTAGCACAACATAAAATCTTTTATTTCTTTTTTTTTTCCAGGAGCAAAACAAACAGCGGTTGCTTCTGAGAAAAGCAATTCCATACTACTTTGTTATTCTTGTTTTTCTAGAAAGTAATCTACTTATCTAAAAGGCACTTCTGTTTTGTTCTGTCATTGTGCCTTGGTAGCAAAAGCACAGAAGTTCACATAAAAAGAAACTCTTATTTCACCCTAGTTTATCCTTGCATCTCTGTGAATTTTGAAACGCCAAATGTATCTTGTCATAATTTCTTTCAAAAACCTAACAACTACATCATTTTTTTTTCTTTTCATTCTAATCCTGCAAGCAGTGATGAACCCTATATATCCTAATATCTATTGCTTTCTTTGCCAATTTTTTTTTGAAAGGTAAGACAAAATTTATTAACAGAGAAAAAAAAAAAGGAGAGAGATTGCAAGGCAAGAAGCTCAGCCATTCACAATGGAGAGCTGTGAAAAGAAGCTCGGACCCAAATTGGACTTACCTGCTAACGAAACACGTTCCAACACCCTCCCAATGTGAAGTTCATCCAAACATCCACTCACAATGAAGAGCTGCGAAAAGAAACTATACCCGAATTCAGATCATCTGCCAACAAAACATGTTGTGACATCCTCCCAACATGATCTGACACATAACGAGACTCGGACCCACCATGCATGAGATGTGCAATGTCGGATAATGTTGGGAGGGTGTTGGGACGTATTCTATTAACAGGTGATCTGGACTCGGACGTATTCTTCATTTTTTTTTTCTTGTATTGACTTTGAACTATATATCTCATTCAGATTTAATTCAGTGGAACAACTTTAATTTGCAAGTGAAACATGATTGGCTATGTGTCGCCTGATCTACAATATTACATCAGACGGTGGCCGTAGTGCTATCACGATAGGAAACATTCTAATGGGCATCAGATTCAGAGGTTAGATATATACAGGTTGAAGGTACGAGAAAGCTTTTGCCAAGCTAGCTTGAGTTGAGACGTTTCAAACTTTCAATTATCGAACATTGTTGACCTGGTGCTCGTGCTACTTAAAGAAAAGAAAGGTAGCAAACACAGTCGAGCGTTGGCATAATGCACTACCACACCAACCGTTGTTGACTTTAGGCCCCGTTTGGCGTTTAGATAAGGAAGATGGGGATCGAGAATTATCAATTAATTGACCCAGGTTTACAAATAGATTAATTGTCACATTCAGGCTGATAAGGCTGGCAACGAGGAGACTACTGAGTTCAGACAAAGTCACATGCTGGACTGAAGCTTGGGTTAGCATCAAAGGTTGAATAGTAGTACTACCACTAGAACAGATTATGTGTTCCATGTATTTATGGATATAAAACAGATTTCAGCTTAACTAACTCTATTTCTCTTTTTCCACTACATATATATATATATAATCACCAATTATTATTATATTTGAGGTTGGCTAGCTCCATAAACTTATTTCCCTCTCTAATTTCATCCTGGTTTGGATATCGTGATTAATTTCCACTGAATCACTTTCATTTCTACTTTCTCTTTGCTGTACTCTTACTTAAACGAATCTTTGATATGTATCAGAGGAACCCCTTTTATATTAAAAAAAAAAAAAACACACGAATCTAAAGAAGAAAGAATAAGAATAGGGATGCTACTTTATGAACTGTTCTCTATTTCAAGAAAATCCACAATTAATCTACATGTGAAAAGTTAGGATCACGGTGTAGAAAATGATAACCAACTCCAATAACCAATCTTTCTTCTGAGCTTTATCCTGTGGGTGAAAAGCAAATGTTAGGTTGTGTTTATCTTTGGACATCATTAACTATTATTTCGTTTTGGAAAATTCAATGTTCATAAAATAAAGCATGATGTTATGAAGTCACATGCTCTTTGACACTTTCAATTTCCCAAACGGGGCCTAGCATTCCAAGTGGATTCAACCAGAGCCAAGGTAGTTGATATTATTCTAAAAACAAGGCAGTTCATATTAGAATAGAAAAAGAAAACAAAAAGTGATAGCTGAAAGATCATATAATCTCGAGTTCACATCGTCCTGGAATTTGGTTGCAATGCATATAAATTTGCACTGATGTAAAATTATGACAGTGTAAATGATTTGAGTGAAAACTCTGACCTATTCTTATTTCAAATTTTAGTTTATTTTGTTTGATTGAAGTATAAATGAAGTAAATTAAGACATGAAGTCAAATAAAATAAAACCCAAGACAATATTAAACCACAATTTGCATTTTTTTCATTTGCACTTCTAAGCATTTGTACTAATGCAAATAAAACTGCACTGCAATGGAACAGAAAATTTTCCATTCCAAACCAATAACAATCTATCATACCAGCCTGTTTTTTCTCATTTAAAAAATAACTGATCATAGTTGAGTGCATCTAAAAGGTAGCTGGTTTGTTAACGGTACAACAAACCCAAAACTAGAATCGATTCATATTTGATAAAGAATAGAAAATCATAAGAAAAACGCAAATAAAGAATTTTAATAAAAAAACACATACAGATTAACATAGTTTGGTGTATGAATAATATAAAGCGGTAGTTAGTAGTTGAAATCCATTGTGGCAATAGAAAAATATAAAGTGGTATAAACACTCATTCTTATGGAAACTCTAAGGCTCGGTTTGGAAGGAGTAGGAATACAAATACATTTTTCACTTTTGTAACTGAGCCTAAATCTCAATATATCGGAGCACTCACACTTAACTTTTCGCATAAATCAAAAATATCCCCAAATAACATGTATTAGAAGTATTGGACCCATAAAGCTAAGAATGCATCAGGTCCATAACACCCCTTTAATCCCACCACAAAGCTAAGGATTGGGACATGAAGCGATGGCTGAAAACCACACAACAATAATTCAAGCACAATACAACATGGTTTATGGGTGGAACGCTTTTTCCTGTAATCTGAAACCCGGCCGGACGAAGAAAACAGCAAGAGCAAACCGATAAAGAACGCATTTGCCGGCAAAACCTAGATTACATAATTTTCATTTCGAAAGAAGAAAAAACAATGCGCCGGAGTTGGCAATAAAAATTATAAAATCCTCTGTTTTTCACTTCGTGGCCCTAAATGCAAGCTTATGAGCTGCCTGCTACTTTTTTTGTGGGAGGAATGCTTGCAATAGAAATGCCCTTTTCTTGAATCTAAATGCGGCAAGTGGAAAATTGTTTCAGTGCAAGTTAATTAGTTCCCTGCGCAGTGTTGCAGATGTGTGTTATAAGCATAATCATGCCTTCAATAACTGCTTATTGGATCAAAAAGCAATTCTCATGATGAGATACATGATTTATGATTTATGAGAGTAACGCCAAATTCTTTTTCCTGGGATTAAAAATAAAAAATAAAGTGAGTTTCTTATTTCTTATTGCGAACAAATTGCCATGACAGTACAATGAATAAAGAAAATATCTCTACGGAGAAGAAGTTTTCCGGGATTCGGACTCCGAGACATGGCCGGAGACGCTGGAGCGGCAGACAGGGCAGGAGTCATAAAGAGAGAGCCAGGTGGAGATGCAAGTGGGATGGTAGACGTGGCCGCAGGGCATTTGTTTTCCACATTTACCAGGTGCTGCATCCAATTCTTCCATGCACACCGTACACACGTCGGCGGTATAGACAGTCGGCATGTCAGATACCAAAGATTCTGATGTTGCGACCTCTCCTGAATCCTCCGGAACCGTCAGAACGAGATCAAGATCAAAACATAGATCGATAGGATATGTCGATCTTCCCTCAGTTGCCATGGAATGGAAAATTCAATACAGAGTTCAGAATTCAGAGTAGAGAGAGAGAGAGAGAGAGAGAGAGAGAGAGCGCAAAGAATAAATGTTAGATAGAGTTGGATTTTATAGAGGAACAATGAGAGCATCAGCATATTAGGGAAGTACCTGGGGTGCTTCATGCGGGGTCTGACGTCTCTGGAGTCTGGCCTGCCAAAATTGCCTCGGGTTCCCATTATTATTAGAGTTGACCATGTTATGTTCCGTAGACAGGTAAGCATCCCCATTCCCCAACCGGAGTGAGTAAATGTAAAGTAGGTTAGATATGGTCCTTCACATGATCTTCTTTTTGCTTTCTTTCTGATCTGATGGCTAAAAGCAATTTTGGATTTGTCCCTGGTCAAAAGGCTCAAAACCATTATTAGAAGAGGTCTCATTACCCTGCTTGCCAAAGGCAGCGGCGTTGATGTGGCTTGTTTTCCTTTTAAATTGTCAGAAGTGTTGGTTAGAGTTGGCGTCCATATGGCCATACTGGACCCACAAATCGATCGGGAGCTCGCCACCTCGGAACCCACCACTGGGCACTGGTGACTGCACCGGATGGATGACTCTTCCTCAAAAGAGACTGATGGAGCTAACCGGTTCAAACCTCAAACTTCAAACATTGCTTTCATTCAATCAAAATGAAAGTAAACATTACACCTGGCAAGTTAAAGTTTGGGGGTCTTTTAACTCTCCACACGTCTTTCAAACAACTCCCATGGTCAACCCTTCTCTCTCTCTCTACAGACAGGAATCCATATATGATCCGGTAAAAAATAAAAGGGTAAATTTCTTAAACTATTCTTATAGTTTAATTAATTGACTAAGTGTATTTTTACTATTTAAAAATTGATTAAAGTTATTTCTACTATTTTTGATAATTGACTAATACTTCCCTTATTGTTAGCACCACTTAATATTCGTTAACAAAAAGACTATTTGGCATGTCTCTGGTTTTCAAGGTTAATATCCCTCCATGGTCCCATGATGAAGTGTACGTCTTGAAGATGGTGGTGGTGGAAGTTATAACAGGGATAAATTGGATATTTTTTGAAGTTATAACAATTAGGTGATATACATTTGAATGGTTTAAGGGTAACGAAAATATTAATCAATTGTCAAAAGGTAGTGTTTGTGAATTTTCAAACAAAAAGAATACTCTTAGTCAATAGGCTAAATTATAAGGATAGTTTGAGAAATTTATCCAAAACAAAACAAAAATGCATGCCAACTGATCACGCTCAATTTAATTATTTTATTTTATTTTTTTCTGCATGATCTTGCTCAATTATGAACCAATATTCTCGTCCCTTCAACACTACCACCCAATTGAATATAGTGTACCAAATTTGTTAATAGGTAGGGTCCAGCGGTGGTAGTCGCAGAGCATTTTTCAAGATGGGGTGCTTCATGCACTACGCCGAATTGCCGCTTTTCTGGCTTGGATAGGGATTCCGACGCTTGCAGCAGCTCCGGTCTGAGGCTCAAGTATGCTGAGATTGGCCTTGGTCGGTTAATTGCCCTGTTAACTTCCCTAAATTGTTTGCTAATTGGGTCATGATAGGTTGATGACACCCTTCTCACTCAGTTTGAAAATTCAACCTAATTTAATTTACTTTGAAAATTCTGAAACCTTAGAATCTTATTCAAACACAAGTCTTAGAATGTATTTGTATTTGAATCATTTTTTTTCAAGGCTTAAAGGTTACGATCTTACAAGGTGTCAATTGGCGGGTTGGTAAGGTCTCTCGATGATTGTAGTGGAAGCTTTTGATTGAATTCCACATGGAGAAGGATTGGGGGTTAATATATTTGGGAGATGGGTTACCCTCGTTGTATAATCCTATGAATAATTAAAAAAAAAAAAAAAAAACAAAGGCTACTGACTCGGTGATGAAGGTCTACTCTCTAGTCTTAGAAACTGCATTTCCATATAAAGATCTAATAATTCTTTACAGTCTTTATGTGTTTGATTGAATATTATTTTCAATGAATTGTAGATTTTTTTTACTCTAAAGAATTATACATATAAATAGGATTTTTTTCTCTGCACCTCTGACCTTACCAACCAGCCAGTTGACACCTTGCGATTATATTGAAAACCCTATGGTCTCACTTTAAGATCAAAATACAACATAAAGAGGGTGTCCTCACTCCTCAGGGCCCATACAATATGTCAAAACAAATAATCAGAAGGTAGGTGGTCATTTCTCTTCCCTCTTTTTTCTTTCTTTAATTTTCTTCTTTGTTGTCTGATTTTAAATTTTAGTTTTGGCTTTTCTCTTATTCTTACTCTGGGCTTAATCGAGGGGAAGACGACTTTTTTTCATGTCTTTTCCTACAACGGAAACCACGTTTTCCTTGTAATTTACAACAAAACAAATTAAATTGAAAAAGTTGGAAACTAAATTCCTCACTCTGAAACGGACAGACACGAATAATTAACCAAGATTTATAATTCAGTAATTTTTATAAAGAAACAAAAGAAACAAAAGAAACTATATATTATTACATAATTCTGTGACACTGTCTCTGTCTCTGCACCTCTGACGTGGTGGTATACACATAACACGTTAAAGCTGTGTTTGGTTTAAAAGAAAAAATAGGAAAAAGTGGGAAAATCCATAAATCCTAAGGAGTCACTTATTTATTCATAGTGGACATGTTTCAAATTCTTAATATATAGATTTTAAGGGTAGTTGAACAAATTATAATAATAAATCTTTTTTATTGATAATCAATTTGAGTCTATGAAATAGTATCGTACTGGATTAAAAAAATTCAAGTACACTCATACATATATATACGTTACATTCCGTTTTTAGGATAGTCGCCATATAACCCGTAGAGGCACAGCAATTTTGAGTCCACAACTTTTTCTTCTTACTACAGAATATCGGATGATTTTGATAGGGGAATCTAAAATACAAAATTAGGGTAAAAGGATTACGTGTGGAGTGTATAAATTTTTTTAAGGAAAATTTACGATTAGTACCATCTAATCGAACTTTTAAAATGTGATAATCCAATATCTGTTGTTAATTACCTATTAACCAGTCGTTAAGTGGCATTTGAAAAAGACACAAATGCCCTTCAAGTGTCATCTAATTTTCTTTATCAATCATCCAAACATTGACAAAAAATTAACACTTTCAGATCATTGCCTCTTCTATTCAAGAAAGTTGGGGTCACCAAAATGCCCACTCAAAGGTACCTCAACTTTCTTGAATGGAAAAGACAAGCAAGATTTGAGACTGTTAATTTTTTGTCAATATTTAGATAGTTGATAAAGAAAACTAAATAACACTTGAAGTGCATTTATATCATTTTCAAATGCCACTTAACGGCTGATTAACAACTAGTTAGCATCAGGTATTGGAGTATCACGTTTTAAAAATTTGGATACTAAATTATCTTATTTTAAAATTTGGGGGCCAAAAGTGACACTAGGCCCAAAATATAGGATACTAATAGGGAATTTTCTCTTTTTTTTAATTGATTTTCCTTTTTGTTGCAACGAACGCAAGTGATGAGATCATGAGATCATCCATCACCATAGTTTAGTAGTTTAGTCCAACCACCGTCCAGCACACCACATATAGGGGACATCACTTTGGCTGTTCGGGAAAAACAGCCTTAGCTGTTTTGAGAGACTCTACCACACTCACACTGAGAGGTTTAGGCCTACGGTGATCCAGCCCATTAACATGAAACCAAGATGGATACGACAAGATAGGCACAGGCCTATGATATATTAATTGTTTGCTCTTCCTATGTTTTTTTAGCTTTCTTATTTAAATCTTTGGTTTGTTTTTATTTTATGTGCTTAGAATTATTTTTAGATATCATTTATATTCTTTTACTTTATCTTAATATAATTTGTTTTCATATCACTTATTAGTTAGGAACCTATTGAAAATTTTCTTTCCATTTGTTAACTTATCTAAAACGTCTAAGGCTGCATTTGGCATAGGACTTATCTCCTTTTAACTGCAGAAAGGAGATTAAGTCCTTTTTTGTGTAAATATTGCATCATGTCACTCATATGTACACTACGCCCTGCATGCCCTTTTATGCACATTGGTAAGCCCATTTAGGTTTGCAGTTCTCATCCCAAGTTTGGCCCATTTAGCATGTGGACCAGGCTCATGAGCCAAATGTTATAGCTGATATCGTGGCCCATGTAGGACTGGCCTGGCCGGTCCATATAATAACCACAACAATGACGACTCGAGCATAAGATCATGATTATGATTCACATAGAATCTAGAGTTTGCACTAAGCAAACTAATATGAGAATAACAAGAAACTATAGAATTTATTGAGCTTTGTTCCCATCGCACCTACAAATCTACAATTCAACGTGGAGTACAACATAAAATATAAGAGCTAATTAATACATACTTTCCCTGCTGCTAAGATGACGTTCCTGAATTCGGATCGATTCCCAACTGTGCATTGTGAATATTATGGTTGTGATGTGCTGTGGGCACGTGTGAGGCATGCTCTGTAGGGAGTCAATGCAAATTTAGTGTTTTTCAATATTAATGTTTTATTAATTTTTTTTTAGAATGTGTCACATAAGCAGAAAAATGGAAAACAAAATAGCTCTTTAATATGTGTTTTCTTGAAACAAACAGTGTTCTCACTTGTTTTCAGTTTATTTATTTATTTATTTTTTGAAGTCTGTATTGGAGAGAAATAGAAAATTGAGAGAATTTTCTTAAGAAGTTTCGCAAATTTTACTAATAACCTTCCTGTTTCTCTCTCGTTTTCTATCAAACCAAAAATAATGTTAATGCGAAATTTTGTACCACTTTAGTCTTTTACGGGTGCAAAATTTACACGGCAAAGAAAAGGAAGAGAGGTATTGTTTGTTGTGTAATTTAGTTTGCACTGTCAGGCATGTAGATATTCACCTTAGTCCTTAAACAAAATTTACATCGCAGCCCAAAGGCGTCTTATAGAAAAACTTTCCAAAATCTCCATTCGTTTCAACTGAAAGGCAATTTCACTCTGAATAAAAAAAAAAAAAAACATCTGTAGTGTTGCCTAGTTTTTTGGTCCTTCTTAGGGTGAGCATGGGTCGGTTCGGTTTGGTTTTATGGCAAAACCCGAAACCTATCTTATAGGGGTCGGTTCCAGGTTTTTGGAATCGGAACCTAACCTGTGAAGGCGGTTCTGACCTTGGTGGTTGCGAGGTCGGTTCCAGGGTCTATCCTTTGAGTCTTTTACATTACTTATTGTACACATTCAAATATTAAAATGAAAACAAATGATTAAATAACTTAAGTAACTAAGTGTTCAAGTGACACCATGGCCTTTGTAATCATGAGCGTTTGGGTTTAAATCTTCACACTCCTAAAAGTATTTTGGGATTTATTTGAAGACAAGTTCAGTTCCAACTTCCAAGACAGGTTTCACCAAGGCCAGTTCCACCAAAGTTGGTTCATTGAATAGGTTTGGGTAGGATAAACCCCTAGGCCTTGGAATTGACCTGGGTGGAGTCAGTTCGAAGAATTTGGAATCAGACTCTATCCTGTAACAAATTGGGTAGAGTCGGTTCAAGGTCAATTTGAGATCGATTCCATTTGGTTCCAGGTATAACTTACCCATTCACTCACCGTTAGTCCCTTTTATATCAAAACTAAAAAGTTAGAAGAGAGAGATGCCACAATGAAATTGAATATTAGAAGGGAATAAAAGAAAAAGAGCCTATATAATCACCTTCTAAGGCCCTGCTTTAGATCTTCTGCTTACAAGGAGATTCATTCCATATTGGGGCTCCAAAACCATTTTAAACGAGGGAGAATGAACATATTTAGGAGAGAGGGAGAAAGAAAACTTAGAAAGCAGTAGAGAAAGAACAGTCTTCAACTCAGCCATGGCAAATTTCTGGCCCAAGCATGTGCGAGGCCCCAGTCCAAACGGAATGAATACTTGTGGAAGCTTGCAAGCACCAAATATTCCGTGGGCGAACCTCTCTGGCTTGAATTCATCCGAATCCGGCCCCCAAATTTCAGGGATGCGGTGCAATGTAGGAATGGGAATCCAAATGTTTACACCTTTCGGGATGCGAAAACCACCCAACTGCATCTCTTCAAATGCCTCTCTCGAAACAAACGATGTTGGAGGAAACAGCCGAAGGGTCTCTTGAATCACCATTGTCAACTGCAGCATTTACATACGTCTGTGATGAGCATCCTCTCATTCTCATCATATGAACCATAGACCAACAAAATCTTATCCACAGGCCACAACTTAACAAAACCATGAATGTATTATCCAACTCATCAAAACCCCCAACCGTGTTAATATATAATATTGAAATTTCACCCCTTAAGTTAAGTAACAGATTTTATTATTCTCAGTGAACCCTTCAACCTAAAAGTTAAGCTATAAGGTGAGGTTTGTGGATATATAAGTTTTTATTCTTGGACATGCCCTCTCACATGAAAGTTTATCGGGTTTGAAGCATGGATAAGAACAGGTCCATTCATACTTTATGCTGAAATTTAATTAATTATAGGAAAAATTTCTGATCGGTACCTTATACTTTGGCTTGAGTGACAATTTGGTCATCAAATTTTAAAATGCGACAATTCAGTACTCAAACTTTTAAAATATGACAATCCAGTACTTGTCATTAACCAGTCCATTAATCAGCCGTTAAGTAACATTTGAAAAGTAAAAAATGTCCTAAGAATGCCATCTAATTACTTTTATCAACCATCCAAACCTTGACAATAAAATGAACAGACCCAAATTCTAGATTCTTCTAAACAGTCATCAGCTTTTTTGAATAGAAGAGGCTTGAATAGTTAATAAAGAGAATTAGATGACATTCAAAGGGCATTTTTTATTTTTCAAATGTCACTTAACGACTGTTTAATAGACTGATTAACGATAGGTAGTAGATTGCCACATTTTGAAAGTTCGATACTGCATTATCACATTTTAAAGTTTGGAAACTAAATTATCACTCGAGCCAAAGTACAACTACAGGAATTTTCCCTTAATTATATTGGGGCGAAAATAGGTTTTTATTTTCTAATATAATAATAATGATGATAGTGATGATAATATATACCGTTTTCATCTTGAAAAGCAAGTCAGCATCTGGCAACCCACCGCCGGACACATCAAAGACCTCGGTGCGAGCACGTGACTGCCATTCGGGATGTGAAGCCAGTAGCATCAAGGTCCATGTGGCAACTGAAGCAACGGTCTCATGGCCAGCAAGATATATGTTCTTACAGTTGTCTACAACGAAGCGATTAGCTGTTTCTTGGTCAAGCTGATCAGCACAGGCAGCCTCAAGTATCATTTGTAATAGGTCCTTTTCAGTCTCACATGATGTTACATAATTACTTTCTTCTTTTCGTTTTGTTGCCACCTTCAGAATCAACTCTTTGATCTCCTCCTCTAATCTCCAAGCCTCCCTAGTGTTTTTGGTTGGAAGGCATCTGCAAAGCATCTCAAGCTGTAAATGTTGCAACGTAATATAATCTTTACAAATGTTGCAGGAATAGGGGTCCGGAACATATCGTAGCAATGAAACCGGTAAGGGCCCATTTGTTTTGCAGGAATAGGGGTCCTGAATCGGAATGAATAATTCTGATTCCAACTATTTGGTTGGACAAAATTAGAATCAAGTTTCCTGTCCCCTCCTTAAGAATGAAATTCCATTCCAATTGATTATATAAAAATAGATCATTTTAATTATGATTCCAATTATAAATCAAATAGACCCTAAGTTATATGGGCTAGAGAGTGTAATGTAAATACCTAAAAGCAGGAATTTTATTAAGTACTCCTGCAAATGAAACAGTCCTTTCAAGTGCCCAAATTAGTGAAAATATCTCTTTGCCGTAGCAATAAGAACTCCCAAAACAAGCTTTTGAGATTACATCTGCCGATAAGTTTCTTAAATCCTCATCTATTCTAATGTCTGCAATTCCTCCATCCCCTTCAACTCGATCCTCCCATGATTTCAACAGTGGCAGGGCAGATTCTATCATCAGTCCCACCATTCCCTACAGATAATTATTGTAAAGAAAAGAAGCATAATAATTTTTCAAAGTGAAACAATAAATTAAACAGTGGAAATATATATATATATATATATATAGCTGCATCTGATTGTGTTTTTTTCTGATGCAAAACTTTTAAGGAAGTCCATTAGCCAAATTTTCAACAACAGTTAGCAATTAGCATAACCAAAATATGAATGAAGAAATTCTTTCCCTGCATGAAATACTGAAATATATAGTTTGTGTTGTAGAGATAGAATTTGAATCCACCCATGGTTCAAAGTATTCATACGACATGCCCGATATAGGGCATATCGCATCGTATCTTTTGAAAAAGATACGGTCCGAAACACCGCCTGTTTCCAAGTATTTCTGACCCCGAATTCTTTTTAATCATAAAAAATATCTTATAAGCTTCCCAAAAAACTAAACTTAAAAAAAAAAAACTAAAAGAAAAAGTATATATCGGCCGTTTCTAAGTACAATACTTTGAACCTTGATTCCACTGTACCAATTATCCAAAATGTGGAATTCTGAGGAATTGAAATGACCAGTACAAAATTTGCATGAACACTTGACAACTTGCACAAGTTTGGAAGTAGGTTTGATTGGCCATGCATACTATTATTAGGATTAATTAAATTAAAATTGATGAAAATACCTTGACTTTGTCCATGAAGAACTCGGGTGCAATTATTTTCCTCTGGTGGGCCCAAAGCTGCCCGTTGGACCTGGTAATGCCAAGTCCAAGCAAGGGCCAAAACTGCTTGACTAGGTATACAGGCTTGCCCAAGTCCCAAGATCTACATAGGCTTATTTCCTTCACCAGATGGGGCTCACTTATGTACAGATGTTGCACTGTCCCCGTTGCGTACGTAAATATTGGACCTGCATGGTATCCAAATTAACCCTCAGTCAACAAACAATTTTTTTTTTTTTTTAATTTTCGATTTGAGAGTCATAATATATGGATTAATGAACTCCAGAGTCCAGAGATAATGGGGATTGGTGGAGACCACATCTACGTGTACCGGCCGAGCTAAGCTATTAGCTAGCTGTAGCTAGTAGACTAGTACCTTTGGATCCTGTCTTTGTCTTAATTAAATGGGCCGAGCCCCCATTTAATTCGTCAAACTACTTTTGCTACGACAATATCTTAGAGCAGAGCAGGATTAAAATTTAATTAAAAAAACAACGAAATCAAGCCTGTTATGACCCCACTTTGAATTAGATGAAGTCACCGCTTTAATAGGGCCATAAAACGGTATTATATCCAAAAGCCATGAGTATCGGTTTTAGCAGAAGGCGAAATTTCGGCTTCTGTCCAAACAAAATAATGATATCTGCCCTCCTCACTCGCTCCTGAGTCAGTGAATTGAATACGATGAAGGGAGTAATTGATCACAAAATTGGGTGGCGATGGAGGCTGTGGCCAAGAGCAGTGGACAGCGGATGAACAGCTTGGGGGCTGCTCTGCTAGTCGCACAGAACCAACTCCACCACTCAAATAAATCCATCATAATTATTCAGCAGAGGCAGAGGCAGAGAGTACTAGTGCAGACTGCAGATTATCTTCCATGTAATCTTAATCATGCATGCACCACGTATACTCTCTTTATTAGGTGGGTAGGCTCCTTAAAACGATTTTCACCCAACCCTCGCTGTGATGAGATTAGCTCATGTTGGTACTTATCACCCATCACCTTTCCCCCCGTACCACCGAAGCTTGCCGTCGAACTAATAAGTCTAACCAAACACATAACAAACCATGAAGTCACACAGAGAGAGAGAGAGAGGAACAAGATATGAAGCATACCATATTGCTTCCTCCAGAATTCCAGGTAAGGGTAGAGGAGAGCCGCGTAGTCATCGGTGAGACGTCCGTGACGTTCTGTTGAAGACACCGCTGCTTTCGATTGGATGGTCTTGATTTCCCACACATTTCCAGTGAGAATAGAAGGTCTTGGACCTTGGATTCCTTGCTTCCTCAGCTTTTCTCGAAGCCTTTGTGGTCTCAACCACAGAACACTGTGCGTGTAAACACACACACTGGCCAACAGAGCCAGGGCCAACCCAGTAAGTATCTCCATCCACTCCATTCTTTTCCTCCTCCTCCTGTCTTCGTTTCCGGCAGAGACCTGCTTATTTATCCTTTTGATTTTCTTAGTTTTGGACCGTGGGAGCTGGGAACTGGAATTTGGGACGACGGCCGGCCATCATCTCTTTAGTCTACCCACAAGGCCACAACACAATATATATACAAGAGCATTCACTGAAAAGAAAAGAAAAGAAGAGACGAAAAAAATAGTTGCGCCATGTCTCACGTCACGCAGTTACTTACAATCATCTTACAGGACAAGTGTCGCCGGCCCATTGGTCACCGTCGTCGAACCGATAATCACACACCTCTGCTGCAGCAATTGGATGGTCAAGATTGGTAGGCAAATCACGAAACTTGATTTGAGTAGAAAGGGGGTGAAATGAAAGATTACAGTAACCTGAACATACAGTGGAAATACCACCAATTCCGCCGGTCGATATATAAACTTCATACAGCTCAACCCAGAAGCCATGACGTTGAAACACGGGCCGGGCAGGGCAACCTATTTTAGCTGAGGGCGATTGATATATATGAGAATCAAAGGACCAACCTCTCAATGACCAATGACCAATGACCATCCAGCTGGTTCAAAATTCAAATAGACATGTATCAAGTGTATGTGATATTTAATGCCTATCACCTTCAATCTATTCTCTGTGAATTGTCATCGGTTTTTGGTCAACTAGGTGACAATAACCCAATATAAATTGCACCACTACCAAGATTGAGACCCCTTATCTTCCTGACTGGATGTCTGGATCATATATGTATTGGGTTTTCAACCGGCCCACAACCTTTATTTCGTTGACTGTGGCCCATGGCCATGGTCGTAGTTACCTGTCTTGGGAATGGGACCCAATTACTCGCAATAATGCACTCAGAACGAGGAAGGAGGAACCACCGTTCCACAGGTGATGGGTCCCACATAACCTAAGACAGGCCCTGATCACCACCTGATTCCGTGAATAATAGATGTATGTCTAGTGTCTAGTCTACACTACCTGTTTCCAGAACTTGGTTCTTTTCTCCACCTTCCTTGTTATTCTAACAACTTGCTGTGAGAGAGAGAGCGAACGAGCTAGGAACGTACGTACAGTTGAGAGAATAACATTGCAGGAGAGGACCGTAGAGAGGAATTATGGCAATGTGAATTTTGCGATCTTCTTGCCTAGGTTTTGTAATTTGTAGCAGAGTATTCCGTAGAGAGCCTATAAGAATAGGATCAAGGCCCCAAAGTTAGCTACAACATATATAATAAACAGTTTGCGTTTGCTCTTCGGCACTTTTGTTATGCATTAATTAATTAATTAGAACTGACGAATGATGTGATATTTCCTGCAAAACAAGATATAAAGGAAAAGCAAAGGGAGAGCTCTACTCCCATCTCCCAATAAAAGTATAAAGGACGTAGATGATTTGTACAAGGATATTCTTGTTACATGTTTATTTTCAGCCGGAAATGAATTGGGAAACCTCGGAAACCCGATTCAATGTTCTCTATATTTCATGGGTATTAACGTAACAGTTTCTGGTCAGGTATTAATTTTTTGGCTAACTATCTCGTCAGTGACGTCTGCTCCCAAGTGGCCTGTGACTCAAAGGCTGAAGTGGAGCTCCCTAGTGGCGAGTTATCTAGTGGCGAACTATCTGGTGGTGAGTTGCCTTGATGAGCTACTTGGTGGTGAACTACCTGGTGGCGAACTGCCTTGCGGTGGGCTACAAAAAGCTAAGTTCTCCTCCTCTAAAAAGCCAAGTCCTCTTCTTCTAGAAAACTAAATCATAATTTCTCAGAAACAAAAACTCTCACTTTATACTTTCCATTTTTTATGAACTCAAAGACTATGCAGGGAGCTAACAGACTAAGCAGCTCTACCAACTTTACTTTCAATTTAGATAAAACCTCATCAGTCCTCTTCGTGAGGTCCCCTTTACAAAGATGAGCTCTTCGTGGCTTCCGTGGGAATTGGCGGCCAACAGACTACATGGGCGCCCTTGCTGGTCGAGCCTTCCAAGGCTCCCGTGTGAGCTGGCGACCCAAAGTTAGTAGTGTTGCCCCCGAAAGTCGAGCTCCTAATAGCTTCTTGTAGGAGTGGGTGACCGGCATTAGGAGGCTGATGCAGCACAATCATAGCTCTAAGGTGCCCACCTGGCAGCCTGGTGCGGCCCGACGCGACCTGCTCGCGACCTGGCAGCCTGGCACATGCGCCGACCTGGCGCGACCTGGCGCAAGCGCCGACCTAGCGGCCTGGCCAAGCGCGAACTGATGAACTGATAAGAGGCTTCCTCATCACAAGACCTAGTCACCTCTTCGGCATGGGCAAAGTCAAGGAGAGTGGACTACGAATCGCTCCTAGAGCCTAAGGGCCAAAATACCGAACTAGCGAAGAACTCCTCACCATATAAGACCCAGTCGCTTCTTCGGCATGGAAAAAATCAAGGAGTGGGCTGCGAGTCGCTCTCAGAGCCTAAGGAATTGAATCGACGCTTACGAGCTCATCGAATTATTCATTCCGGGCCAAAAGGAGAAACCTACTCCCTTCGCCAAGTTACTTTCGGCTCAGGAGTGGGGGGCAAATGATGAGGGCAGATTTGACCCTCCAATGATATTGTGACACATGGCACCTCAGAACAACTAAGTGACACCCGAAACCACGACCTGGCACAGGCACGAGCTGGCACAGGCACGAGCTGGCACAGGCACAAGCTGGCACAGGCATGATGGTGTCCCATCTGGTGGCTTGGCACAGGCACAAGCTGGCACAGGCGCGACCTGGCACAAGCACGAGCTGGCACAGGCGCGACCTGGCACAGGCACGAGCTGGCACAGGCGCGACCTAGCACAAGCACAAGCTGGCAACCTGGCCCAGACACCGACCTGGCGACTTACAAGACATGCTCACCGATGAATTCGGCATGCATATCCTAACACTCCCACGATCCTTGGAAGTTGGCCCACGTGCTGAATGATCCGGAGGGTGGTCAATGTGCATGGCGATTACCTCCAGGAATATCGAACCACTTAGACGACCTCGTAGAAATATCAGATATGGTGCGTGAAGCCCACGCCAAACAATGCCTATATAAAGGCACCAACCCCAAGGGCAAGGGGAGAGAGAAAGTAAGAAAGTAAGCATATTCTAGCTCTCACACTTTATGATTTTTAGCTCGTAGTCTACTATGAGAGTACTGACTTAAGCATCGGAGCGACCTCGCCGGGTTAGCCACCCTGGGTCCTCTGACATTTGGTTCCTTGTAGGACTTTAAAGAGCAAGGAAGCTCGTCACCTAACCTGCCCAGCTAGGCACCTGGTCAGTTCAGCACCTACCCGACACCTGGTCAGTTCGTCACCTACCCGGCACCTCATAGGCAGCTCACCACCAGGTAGTTCGCCACTAGGTAGCTCGCCACTAGGGAGCTCCACTTCAGCCTCTGAGTCACAGGCCACTTGGAAGCAGGCGTCACTGACGAGGTACTTAGCCAAAAAATTGATATGTGACATAAAATTTGTTTCTTCTTTGATTTTTCTTTCTTTTCTTTGCTCTCAGTTTGTTTGCAAGGAAAATTTGATTTGCATCAGTGTAAATGCGTGGAAGTATAAATAGGCTGAATGTAAATTGTGATTCATTTTTACTTTAGATTTGATTGTATGATTTGTTTGTGAAAAGTATGTAAAATAGGAAGTAAAATGATGTGGTCCTAATTCAAATGAATGATGAGAATGGACATAAGAGGAAGATTCGTTATTATTTGGGAGTGGGATAGTAAGTAAGATGAGAGAGCCTGGAACTCCATGAAAGCAAAAAAGTGTGAACATGATGAGAGCAAAGCATCCAACCATTCATTGGGAGCATCTTTCGTGCTACTTGTATGTTAAATTCATCGAGAGATGTTCCTTATGTGCATCTACATGCCCTGCTCTCTGCATACTTGTGAGTTTTCTTTTTTTTTTTTTTAAGAGATCTTATCATGTGAGATGAGATGATATGGTTTCCATTTTATGTGAGAGAGAATTTAGGCCATGTTTGGGAGTGCTTAAAAATAAGTGCTTATTGGGGCCAGGACCACATTATTAAGCACTTATTGGTGTTTGGGAAATAAGACTGAAATAAGTGCTTATTTTAAAAATAAAGACTTATTTTTTAAGCCCAAATTTTCAGCTTTTTTTAAGTTTACTCTAATTTTTTCTTCCAAAATTATTCATAGTTGAATTTTAAATTAACACTTATAAAACTATCCCTAGTTGATATTATAAAAGTAATTTTGTAAAAGTGATTTCATAAAAGTACTTCCACAAAAATGTTTTTTATAAAAGTACTTTTATTAAGGTGCTTTCATAAAAGTACTTTTACAGGAGTGCTTCTATAAAAATACTTTCCTAAAAGTGCTTTTGTAAAAGTATTTTTATAAAAATGATTTTGTAAAATTTGATAGAAAATGAAGGATAAAATAGTCAAAACACTTGCTTAAGTGCTTATTGGAGAAAAAGACTACCAAACCCCAAATATAAAATAAGTGCTTATTTTTTAAAATATATACTTGAAAAAATTGGATGTCAAATACAAATAAGTGTTTATTTGAAAAAGCACTTATTTTTAACATAAGCACTCCCAAATATGGCGTTAGGAAGCTAATGACTGCAAATGAGACAAAAGGTACAATTTTTTATCAAGTAGAAATGTAAATCATAGTTACACAGACAAATAGATGCAATGCAACATGCAAAGATAGAACCGGCTGCAAAATCTAATCGGATTACGATGGAAACAACAGAGGCTTCGTTTCATTTAATTTCCCTTCACAACAAAAACTCGATACAATTAATTATGGTAGCATGGCTCAAATATACCCTGGAACCAACCTAATTTAATTAGGGAAAATTACTTAAATCACCCTTCACCCTTGTATGTTTTATATATATATATATATATATATATAAACCTCCCTTGCACTCACCTCAGCCAAAACCTCTCTTTACATTTTAAATAAATATGCAAATGATGCACGCTTCCGTTTATTGTCCTGATTGAAAATGTTGATGTAATGTTTTAAAGTTTATAAAATTTCATTTTTTTGCTCATGAAAAAATTTATTGGGACGAAGAGTAGATTTCGTATACAAATACAATACAACGGAGAAGGAAAGCTACCAATAATTTACTCGAAGTTGAAAATCCAAGTATAGTTGGAATTGGGTTCCCAAAACCAGGTACTGCAGCTCATGCTTAAAATTAGTAGAAGCTGTGAATGTGATATATGGAGATGTGTATTGGAGGCACTGGTGGAAACAGAGTACTATTCCTCCCCATGTGAAGCAATATTTATTACATTACATGACTCATTACCCACCAAGGTCAACTTAGCTAAGCATCGGGTTGTAAATGAGAGTGTTGCATGATTGGTCGAAATTGGACCAAACTCAACAAGGACAGACAGATATGTCCTTTTGAATGTTGTTGTATTGATGTGGTTCATATGGTGGCATCGAAATAAGGTGTTTGAACATCAACCTTTCAATCCCCACTCGGTTCTCATCAGAGCGCAAGCCTATACCATCTCCATTCTTCACTCAAGTCGAAGATCACCTCCCCCACTCTATCAACGCCGCAGCTAACTGATAATGTCTC